GTGATCCACCCGCCTCGGCCTCCCAAAGTGCTGGGATTACAGGCGTGAGCCACCGCGCCCGGCTTTCTTTCTTTTTTGATGTAAACACATTATCTATATATTTCTCTCTTAGTACTTCTTTTGCTGTATCCCATAGGTTTTGGTATGTGGTTTTTTTCATTATTTGTTTGAAGAAGTTTTTCAGTTTCCTTCTTAATTTCTTTATTGATTCACTTTTCATTCAGGGGCATACTGTTTAATTTCTATTTGTTTGTATAGTTTCCAAACTTCTTGTTACTGATTTCTAGTTATATTCCATTGTGAGCAGAAATGTTTGATATTATTTCACTTTTCTGAATAAGTCTTGTTTTGTAACCTAAAATGTTGTGTATCTTTGAAAATTATGTGTTGAGAACAATCTGTGTTCTGCAGTCATTAGATGAAATGTTCTGTTAATATTTATTAGGTATATTTGACTTATAGTTCAGATTAAGTCTGATGTTTCTTTCATGATTTTCTGTCTGTAAGATCTGTACAGTGCTGAAAGTGGTGTGTTAAGTCTCAATTGCTATTGTATTGGAGCCTCTCTTTTTAGCTGAATATGATTTGCTATATATGTCTCAGTGCTTTAGTGTAGGGTGCATGTATATTTAAAATTGTTATATTTTCTGGCTGAATTGATTCCTTTATCATCATAAAATGACTTCTTTTCTGTCTTCTTACAGTTTTTGTCTTGAGATATATTTTGTCTAAGTATAGCTTCTCCTGTTTTTTTTTTTTTTTTTTTTTTTTTTTTTTTTTTTTTTTTTTTTTTTTTTTTTTTTTTTTACAGTTGAAGTGTGTTTCTTGTAGGTAGCAGACCACTGGGTATTTCTTGTTCTTTTTCTCACTCATTCTGTGTTATTTAATTGGAGTGCTTAGTGCATTTCCATTCAGCGTTATTATTGATAAGCATGTGTTTTTACTCCTGCTATTTTGTTATTTTCTGGTTTTGTATCTTCTCTTTCTTTTGCCCTTCCTGTCTTCATTTTAGTGAATGTGATTTTTCTTGGTGGTATAATTTTTTGCTTTTTATTGCATTGTTTATCTGTTCTATGTTGTTTTTTTTTTAATTTGAGGTTACCATGAGGCTTACAAATACTATTTTATAGCCTATTATTTTTAACTGATGACCAAAACTAGCAAAAACTCTACCTTTAACTTTGTTTCCCCATTTTTAAACTTTGTTGGTTCTCTTTATGTCTTATTGTACTGTCTATGTCTTGAAACACTAGTGTAGTTGTACTGATTCATCAATGGGTATTTCTACTTGAGTATTTTACACACCACAATTATCATATTATATTCAGTTTTTCTCTGTGCTATTACCAATGAATTCTATGACTTCTTATTTATTGCTCATTAACATTCTCTTCTTACAGATGAAAGAGAATGCCCCTTAGTATTACTTGTAGGACAGGTCTGGTTTTGATGAAATCCCTCAGTGTTTGCCTGGGAAGGTTTTTTTTTTTTTTTTTCTCCTTCATGCTTATGGGATATTTTCACTGGTTACACTATTCTAGGGTAAAACCTTTGTTCCTTCAGCACATCAAATATGTCATGCTACTCTCTTCTGGCCTGTAAGGTTTCCACTGAAAGTCTGCTGCCAGACATACTAGAGTTTCATTGTATGCTGTTTCTTTTCACTTGCTGCCTTTAGGATCCTTTATTCTTAATTTTTGGGAGTTTGATTATTAAATGTTTTGAGGTAGTCGTCTTTGAGTTCAATATGCTTTGCATTCTGTAACCTTATTGTACTTAGATATTGATACCTTTCTATGGATTTGGGAAGTTCTCTGATCATATTCCTTGAATAAATTTTCTATACCTATCTCTTTCTCTCTTTAAGGTGAATAACCCTTAGATTTGCCCTTTTCAGGCTTTTTTCTAGATCTTGTAGGCCTGCTTCATTGTTTTTGCACTTATTTCCTTTTGTCTCCTCGGACTGTGTATTTTCAAGTAGCCTGTCTTTGAGCTCACTAATTCTTTCTTCTGTTTGATCAGTTCTATTAAGAATTAAGAATCACTGATGCATTATTCAGTATGCCAGTTGCATTTTTAAACTTCAATTGCTGCTTGATTCCTTTTATTTTAATCTGTTTGTTCAATTTATCTGATAGAATCTGAATTCCTTCTTCATGTTATCTTTAATTTGTTTCCTCAACACAACTATTGTGAATTATCTGTCTGAAAAGTAACTTATTTTGTTTCTTCAGGATTGGTCTCTTATTCAGTTTGTTAGGTGAGGCCACATTTTCCTGGATCATTTTAATGTGTACATGTTTGTCTGTGTCTGGGCATTGATTGTAGCCTTCACAGTCCGGGCTTAGTGCCCACCCTTGTTGGGAAGGCTTCCTAGGAATTTGAAGGTACTTGGACCTCAAACTCAATAACATAGTTCTTGCAGACTCATAGAGGTACCATGTTGTTGATCTTGGTTAAAATCTGAATGAATTATCTGGATTACCAAGCAGAGACTCTTGTTCTCTTCCCTCAGTTTCTTGCAGACAAATGGAGTTCTCTCTCTTTGCTGTGCTACCTGGAGCTGGGGTGGGGTGACACAAGCTTCCCTCTTGCCCCCACCACTGGGACTGTGGTAATTTAGATCTAAAGTGAGCACAGCAGTGGGTCTCACCCAAGGCCCAGTGTAATTACTGCTTGGGTACCACCTAAGTTTACTCAAGACCTTAGGGGTTTACAATCAGCAGGTGGCAACAAGCCAGGTTTGTGTCTCCTCAGGGCTATAAGTTCCCTTTGGCCCCAGGTGGGTCAAGAGATGTTGTGTGGGAGCCAGGTATTGAAGTCAAAAACCTTATTTATCTCATGTTCTATTCTCCTGCAGCTAAGCTGGCATTCAAATCACAAGACAACATCCTTCCCACTCCTCTTTCCCCTTGCTGCAGGCAGAGGAGCCTCATGCTCTCTGCCACCACCACCAGTCACCACCGCCAGTGCACAGGGGTTTTCACTGGGCTATCACTGATGTTCACTCAACACCCAAGCACCCTTTAGTCAGCTTGTGATGACTGCTTCCGTGTCTGGGACTTACTCTTTGGCTTAGGGCAGGTCCAGAAATGCTGGCTTGGGGACCCAAGAGTCTGCTTGATTCTCTACCTCACTGTGGCCAAGCAGTGCAAAACAGAGTCCCCTTTACTTTTTCCTCTTCTTCGCTGAAGCAGGTGTCTTTCACTATACCCACCACAGCGGGAAATGTTCTGGGTCACACCTGAAGCCAGTACATCTCAGAATCTAATGTTCATGATGTGTTACTGAAGTGTCACTGTTGGTTATTCAGAGACCAGCAGCTCCTAAGTCAGAAGGTGATGAATCCTGCCAGGTCTACGCTGTGACAGAGCAGCACTGGGTTCTATGTAGTCCTCTAGTCACTGTGCTCTCTGTCTCCGAAATGTACAGTTTTCTCCCAGCGTCATGCAGACGCTCTTGAGGGGTAAGGGAGGGGTGGCACAAACACTCCCTTTCCTCCACTGTTGGTGACTTAGTAGTTCACATGCCACTTTATTGTAGTAAGGTTATTGTAGTAAAGTTTGCATATCAGTTGAGGAAATAGGACCTCAAGTTTCTCACTCAACTGTTGTGTTCTTAACTTAGCATAATTTTGTATATTAGATTTATAAAATATATGTACCTGAATCTAGTAATTGGAATTCTTAAAATTTTTATATCTTTTCAGATATGTTTTCGCATTATAACAAGGACCTGTTGACAGAGCACTGCACAGAGGCGTCATTCCAAAAAGTGATACCGAGGACACATGAGAGCTGTGACCTTGAGAATTTACATATAAGGAAAAGGTGGAAAAGGGAGGAGTGTGAAGGGCACAGTGGGTGTTACGATGAAAAGACTTTTAAATATGATCAATTTGATGAGTCCTCTATTGAAAGTTTGTTTCACCAACAAATACTTTCTTCTTGTGCCAAAAGCTATAACTTTGATCAATATAGGAAGATCTTTACTCATTCATCATTGGTTAATCAACAACAGGAAATTGATATTTGGGGAAAACATCACATATATGATAAACCTTCAGTGTTCTTTGGGCAGGTCTCTACTCTAAATGGTTACCAAGATATTTTTATTGGAGACAAAAATTATCAGTGCAATAATTCTGATAAAATCTTGAACCAAAGGTCAAGCCCTAAAAATCATCAGGAAAATTATTTTCTAGAGAAACAATACAAACGTAAAGAATTTGAGAAAGTCTTTCTTCAGAGTATGCATGTGCAAGAGAAGCAAGAAGAGTCTTACAAATGTGATAAATGTGTAGAAGTTTGTACCCAGTCATTAAAACATATTCAACATCAGACCATCCCTATCAGAAAAGACTCACATAGATGTAATAAATATGATAAAGACCTTAGTCAATCATCAAATCTTAGAAAGCAGGTAATCAATAATGAAGAGAAACCATACAAATGTGAAAAATGTGGTGATAGCTTTAACCATAGTTTGTACCTTACTCAAAATCAGATCATTCCTACCGAAGAGAAGGCTTATAAATGGAAAGAATGTGGCCAAGTTTTTAACCTTAACTGTAGTTTATACCTTACTAAACATCAGCGAATTCATACTGGAGAAAACCTCTACAAATGTAAAGCGTGTAGCAAATCTTTTACTCGTTCCTCCAATCTTACTGTGCATCAGAGAATTCATACTGGAGAGAAACCCTACAAATGTAAAGAATGTGGCAAAGCCTTTCGCTGTAGTTCATACCTTACTAAACATAAGCGAATTCATACTGGAGAGAAACCTTATAAATGTAAGGAATGTGGCAAGGCTTTTAACCGTAGTTCATGCCTTACTCAACATCAGACAACTCATACAGGAGAAAAACTTTACAAATGTAAAGTATGTAGCAAATCTTATGCTCGTTCTTCAAATCTTATTATGCATCAGAGAGTTCATACTGGAGAGAAGCCTTTTAAGTGTAAAGAATGTGGCAAAGTCTTTAGCCGTAGTTCATGCCTTACTCAACATCGGAAAATTCATACTGGAGAAAATCTTTACAAATGTAAAGTATGTGCCAAACCTTTTACTTGCTTCTCAAATCTTATTGTGCATGAGAGAATTCATACTGGAGAGAAACCCTATAAATGTAAAGAATGTGGCAAAGCCTTTCCTTATAGTTCACACCTTATTCGGCATCATAGAACTCATACTGGAGAAAAACCGTACAAATGTAAAGCATGTAGCAAATCCTTTAGTGACTCCTCAGGTCTTACTGTGCATCGGAGAAGTCATACTGGTGAGAAACCCTATACCTGTAAAGAATGTGGCAAAGCCTTTAGTTATAGTTCAGATGTTATTCAGCATCAGAGAATTCATACTGGCCAGAGACCCTACAAATGTGAAGAATGTGGCAAAGCCTTTAACTATAGGTCATACCTCACTACACATCGGAGAAGTCATACTGGAGAGAGACCCTACAAATGTGAGGTATGTGGCAAAGCCTTTAACTCTAGGTCATACCTCACTACCCATCGGAGAAGTCATACTGGAGAGAGACCCTACAAATGTGAAGAATGTGGCAAAGCCTTTAATTATAGGTCATACCTCACTACACATCAGAGAAGTCATACTGGAGAGAGACCTTATAAATGTGAAGAATGCGGCAAAGCCTTTAACTCTAGGTCATACCTCACTGCACATCAGAGAAGTCATACTAGAGAAAAACTTTAAAAATGTAAAACACGGAGCAAATTTTTTACTTGTTACCTATGTCTTATTGTGCATCAGATAATTTGTATGGGAGTGAAACCCTACAAGGGTTAAGAATGTGCATAACCTTTAACCATTTTTCAAGCCTTAGACAACAGCAGAGAATATAAACTGGAAAAAAGCCACACAGATATTAAAAATGTGGCAAATTATTTAAACCGTGCTTAACCCTTACTCAAGGTAATCCATACTAGAGAAACAGTATAGATATAAAAATGTGAAAAGTTTTACTCAAGATATCAAATTTATGAGTCACCTAGGGGTTCATAGAAAAAGTTTGCGGATGTGATAAATGTGAGGAAGTATTTAATAAAAAATGAAGTCTAAATGTGTCAGAATTTACTCAAGAAAGGACTGAAGCACAGACACTTTCAGCCTTTACTCTAAATAAGAGTATTTTTTATACAGAATAAAGGCAAAATAATTAGATAATTTATTTGCTTATATGTTTTAAAGTAGCAAGAACATTGATATTTTGACAGGTACATTTCATGGATACTTCATTTGTATTTACAGTATTCAAGGTTTTTGGAAAGCAAATATTATTTATATAATTCAGCTCTCAAATCCATTGCTGCATTTCCTGAATCCATGTTGTTCATTTGAAAATATGTGTTCTGTTTTTTTTCTGCATCAGAACAATGTAAGATCCGTCTACAGTAGGTGAACATCATTATTATCCACATTTTTCATGGGAGTTTAATGCCAAATATAAAACACATGAAGAGAATGTTTAAAAATATGCTCTTTGTGTTTGAATAAAGTGTTAATGGATGTAAACAGATGATATGTGTTTAGAGCATTTTTCTGTATTAAAGTAAGAGGGATATTCTGAATTTTTAAGACAAATTACTTCACCAATTCCTGTAAGTAAAAGAAAACAAAGTTCATTTAAACCAGGGGTCCCCATTCCCCAGGCTGCACACTGGTACTGGTCTGTGTGGTCTGTTAGAAACTGGGCAGCACAGCAGGATGTGAGTGGTGGGTGAATGAGCATTACCACCTGAGCTCTGCCTCCTCTCAGATGAGTGGTGTTATTAGATTTTCACAAACCCTATTGTGAACTGTGCATGTGAGGGATCTAGGTTTGTGCTCCTTAGGAGACTTCAACTAATGCCTGATGATCTGAGATAGAATATTTCATACCGAAACCATCTCTTTCCTTGCTGGTTTGTAGAAAAATTGTATTCCATGAAACCAGTCCCTGGTACCAAAAAGGTTAGAGACCACTGATTAAAGTACTAACATATCTTTAATATAGAATAAAGTAGGTATCTTTAGTATTATTTGATGTGATAGAAGACAGTGAAAGAGTTGAATATATGATGTGATGAAAATAGCATCTTCACCTGTATCAGGGAAATATGAAGATAGTTCCTGTCAACATTCATTAAGTAATTAGCCTCACTTTAAAAAAATGTAGAAACAGAACTGCAAGATTAGTATATTGGGAAAAAAGAATGCTTCTTGAGTACTTGCAACTGTATTTTGACCAGGAAAAATATAGTGGATTTTAAAATGCTTTGCTTAGACTATGGGTGAACTTAATTTCTTTTAATAAAATTAGATGTTTTTTAATGTTTTAACACTGATGTACAATGAATGAAATGTACTGTCACTAATGTTAAACTATTCTGTCTTATCTAAGATTGTGGTCAACAGATGAAAATAATATACTATGGGATAACTGTGAAATGTCTTCCCTAATATTTCTTTTTTTGGAGGACTTAAACTTTCAGTAATTTGGAAAATAGTTTTCTCATAGTGACTGTCTTTTTATGAGTAGATTAATGCAGGTAAAACTGAAAGATCACAACTTAGCAACAAATGTTTTACATTCATTTGAGAGCCAGTTTGTAAGTAGTTCACCAAAAGGTGTTGGGTTAAAGCAGTGGTTTGAATTAATTGTATAGCATTCATGTAACAGAATACAACTCAGCCATACAAAGAAACAAAGAACTAAAGCTCACATCCCAGATGAATCTCATAGACCTCCTAAATGTAAAAAGCTAGACATAAAATTGTGTTTTGTGTTGAGCATGATGGCTCACGCCTGTAATCCCAGCACTTCGGGAGGCTGAGGGAGGCAGATCATGAAATTAGGAGTTTGAGACCAGCCTGACCAACATGATGAAACCCCATCTTTACTAAAAAAAGAAATCCAAAAAATTAGCCGGGCATAGTGGTGCATGCCTGTAATCCCAGCTACTCAGGAGGCTGAGGCAGGAGAATCGCTTGAACCCGGGAGGTGGAGGTTGAAGTGAGATATCATGCCACTGGGTGACAGTGAGACTGCATCTCAAAAAAAAAATTGTGTTTTGTGTATTTATGTATTGTATTATTTCAGGCAAAATAAACCTATGGTGAAATAAATCACATTGATAGCCTCTGGTTGAGGAAAAAAAGATTCCTGGGACAAAACACAAGTGAATTTTTTGAAGATGATGAAAATGTTCTGTTTCTAAACTAGGTGAAGGTCATACGGGTTCATTTATTTGTCAAAAATTTATAGCTAGAGTTTGTGTCAGCCAGTTGGTGCTGTGGAGTCTATTTCGTTTGGGTTGGGACCTCATTCCTTGGGTTGGGACTTCACCTCACTGAAGTTCTGGCAGAGTCTCTAGAAGAGATGTGATGATCTTGTCCCAGACCCCAAGAGTGGTTTCTTGGATCTCACACAGTAAAGAATTCTTGGTGAGTTGCAGAGTAAAGTAAAGTTATAATAGTTAATTAGAGATTACTCAGTTACAGAGTAGCACAGCCTCAGAAAACAAGAAGAGGAATGCCTTGCAGTGAGAAGAGATAATTTATTGAAAGCTACTCTGTTAGGGTAGGCCTTCCTCAGAAAGCAGGAGGAGAAATCACCCATTTCAAATGGTTATAGAGGTGAAGAACAGTGTACTTTATTACAGAGGCTTGTAATCAGCTTGTGACAGGCTATGAGTATTGTTACTTTTCTGTGTTACTATTGATTTTAGCAAGAATTTATGAGTGTATTATTTTTAAAGGAAAACTTAATGCTTTTTGTTCTTAAAATACTGTGACATTTTTATAAGTTCTGAGTTTTATTTAGTTAACATCATTACCTCAGTGTCTCAAGCATAAATATCTTGGGACCAAGAGTGACCAAGCCCCTTGGAAAGTAATCCAGCAGGTTTGGCTTTTTTTTTTTTTTTTTTTNTTTTGGAGACAGAGTCTCACTCAGTTGCCCAGACTGGAATGCAATGGTGTGATCTTGGCTCACTGCAACCTCTGCCTCCCAGCTCAAGCCATTCTTCTGCCTCAGCCTCCAGAGTAGCTGGGATTACAGGCACCCACCACCACACCTGGCTAATTTTTGTATTTTTAGTAGAGACAGGGTCTCCCCATGTTGGTTAGGCTGTTCTTGAACACCTGACCTCAGGTCATCTGCCCACCTTGGCCTCCCAAAGTGCTGGGATTATAGGCATGAGCCACCATGCCCAGCCACAAGTTTGGCTTTACTTTGCCTTTATTCAAGATAGTGTCACTGGTTGGGATACTTCTGGCAGGTTTAGCATGATTGTTATCTGAGAGCTGTCTATCACACTGCAGTGAAGCAGGGTGGTGAGCAACGACTGAGGTTTTAACAGCTCCTCATTTGGCTACAGAGGTCCAGCTAGCAGCAAAAGCAAAAGTATAATAACTTGAGTAGTAAATACAATTAAGAAAAGGATTGTTAAAGAGCTCTACAGTCAAATGTTGACTTATTAAAACTGATATTTAGTCTATGTACATACTTGTATGCATTATTTTAAGATTCTCTGTAAAACAATCAGTCAAATGAATTCTGTTTCTCCATTTACTTCTGTCTTTCCTTTCTCTCACCACTCCAAATGCCACATGAGGGGACCCCCCAAGAAAAGATTGCTAACAGAATTCTAGCCTAGAATCACTTAAGGAAAACAGAAAAGCAGGTTCCTCCCAAAAGGAAACTGCTTTTTCTCATGAGGCCCTCAGAGTTGTAAGCAGACAGATTCCTCTGAGGTCTAACACTCTGCCCTTTTTTTTGTATTGCATCACTTGATCTCCTTGGCTTTGGGGGATATGAGAGATTACATTGTATATCGTGAGAGAACTTGACTAGGTGCATGTAATTGCTGGTGAGTCATTGGCAAGAGCTGTGGTGTTAGAGGCTGACAGCAGTTGCTTACTCTAAATGTTTATCACTCTAGAGAGTTGCTTATTTCTTTGGGTGGTTGGATAGAAAAATCATGGTTTGGAAACTAGAGTCTACAGAAACATTCCCACCCACCTCATTGAGGGGTAGGACACCCATGTGGGATGGACTCTTCATAGTGTGTGCTAACTGGCATAGGATTGCCCACCAACCTCAAAGGAATGTCCCTCTACTGAGGCGCACTGTGGAATCATTGAACTGTCCAGTCCTCTGGCATTTCCTTTCTTTTGGGAGCTCAGAATTCAATGTAAAAATAGGATTCTTGATTTTGGGGGATCTAAGTGTTATGCCTTCCAGCTGTTCCTGCTTTGCACGTATTTAAATATTAAGCTCTAAAAACTGCATGCATGCTTTCTTTGCTTTATTAAGTGGCCCCACCCTGAAGCCAGCAATCTAAGAAACAAGCTAAGTTAAGAAGCCCGCCTATCCAACTAAATCAGTCTCCAAAACGTGCAGCTTTCTGACATTTCGCTGGCTGGTTTGATACTCTTTGAAAAAAAAAAAAAAAAAAAAAAAGCTTTAGAAAACAAACTTAGAAATGCTTTTCTCCAGGATCTGGGAATAATGTGTTTGAAATGTAAATATGAAAAAAGATAGTGCCCTATTTCACAATTTTGCAGTAGGATAGAAGCTAATTTTATCAGGAACTTAGCTCCAAGTTGCAGAACGATTTTCTGTCACAAAGATTAGAAGCTTATTTTTCCATTTAATAAAGCCAATTACCAAACTTAGATCATCTTTCTGGTTACCAGGTGAATTTGGGATAAATTATGGCAGCTGGTGCTGTCAAGTCTTCCTACTTGAGGACTATTATTATTAATCTTGACATATATGTTTTATAACTCAAACCAGATTATGATGTTTAAACACTGTTTGCCTCTGAGGCACATCACATTCTGTTTTGAGTTATACAAAAGTTATCTCTCTTCTACCTTTGCAGAAAGGCATTCTAGATTGGGAGACAATTTTGTTTTAATTATTTTCCCAAGCACTGTTCAGAAATACAAGATCAAATATAAAAGGTACCCACCAGGCTTCCTACTAGAAGGGCCTTTGACAAATACCCAGCAAATTTTCTCTCAGGCTTTCCCCCAAGCCACAATTGTTCAGTGAAGATCTTGCCTGCCCTCAAAATCTGAATGTAGTATGATCTCGCTGCCCATTTGGATTCTGCAGTTTCATCTGGGGCACAGTTAGAAAAGATTTGTGATAAAATAACCTCAGAAAGTGGCAATCATCAGTTCCAGCCATGTCTTTAAATGCACCTGGAGACTTTATAATAGAAATTGATTCAGAGAACATGGGGCCTGGAAGACCAATCAGACAAGTATCTGTGCATTGAGTTGGCCTCTTCCACTTCCCTGCCTCTCTAGGGGACCTAAATTTGCACCTCTAAATTCTGAATGCAGGACCTGGGGCTCTTCAGAATGCTCTATAGTAGCCTTCCTGGGAGGAGTCTCTTCTCCAACTTTTCTGTCAAACCCAGGAATACAGAACAGGTGTGATCCCCACAGAATTTGCATATAAGGGGAATTTGTCTCCCCCTGAGATTCCTAAAAAAGGAGCAGCCTTCAGTCAGGATTATAA